AGAGGAGCGAAGGGGAGAAGAATGGAACACATGACAGTTTTTCCAGCCCAAGGGATGAGCTTGACACTCAAATGTCCAATTTGTGGATGAATTTCACAGGCTGTTTAGGAGGAAAAAAACAACCCTCAAACAAGCTATGGAATGAACATTCTCTATTGGCTGAATTTTCTAACGAATTTATGAGAAAATTTGTCACTTGAATCACTCTGGCAGTCAATTCGTGTGTATGCGATTTTATCGGAAAATAAGTGAGGCCACGATGGAAAATTGCGCATCGGGAAAAAAAGGAGAAAACTAATTAAATGTAACTAGAGCAAAACTAATGGCAATTCTTTCGTCCAATTCGCATCTATCTCCTTACACCCTCTGTCCGACCAATGTAAAATACTTTCCTCCAAATTGCGCCACATACACATTCTCTTGTGGGATTTTCTTGAATGTACTTCTGAGAGGAAAATGCAGTGGGGAGCATTTAAGTTTTCCTACTATCAGCGAGAAAACTTTTTCAATTAAATAACATTCAAACATGGAAATTGTATTTGGTATTTTCCTAATAAATTTTACACTTAATTCCTACTTCTTCCGCTCACTTTGTTTTTTTTAATCCCTTTTCTCGCCCACTTACATATTTGCGTCTGTTAGAGTGATGTGGGGGAAAAAGTATGGGATTTTATCTTGAGGCGAAAATTAATATGTTCCTATTTTCTCCGGGCTTTTTTTCCATTATGAAAATTCAGATATGAGATAACAAATGGATCGATTACGTTAACAAGAGAGAATTCGGTGAGCGGGTTGAGGTGAGAGAGAACGAAAAATATGTCGACATTGATGTCTTTTTGGTAGTTTGGTGGGAAAAGAAGAAAAATTAATGGCTTATAGTCTACGATCGTGTCATAAAATAATTAATGTGGATTGCACGAATGTGTGGAAGGTTTCTGTAAATTGAATAGAAAGGCTTTTTATGGCTCGATCGCTATTTCAGATAAACACCCGTCGTTTTGCTTTATGTTATGTAAGAAAGACTTTTGCTTTTGGGGTGGAGAAACAATGATAATTTAATATTATTGACTATATTTCACCCTTCATCTCATAAACTTCCCAATAGTTATCTGTCACTGACAAAGGGTGAGACGTGTAATCAATTTTCTTTCTTCTTTCTCTTCAGGCTTCTTTTTAAATTGAAGCTTTGCAAGTAGAGCATTTTATTTTGCTTAAACGACAGTTGAGAGCGTATTCACATCGGCAGAAAGCGATATGAAGAAGTCTATAGTCATGGGATTTACCCTAATCGCAGAATCTAAATCCTCCATTTGAGTCATATAAAAGATGAAGGCGCATAAGAAGGCGCTCGATGAAGTTACGCTCATAAATCTTCCATTGCATCTATTGAAGCATTGGCTTTCATTAGTGCCATTAACTTTTCCTATCAAAAACTCAATGTGATTCACATTTTATTGCATTAGGGGCACTTATAGTATCTTCCTGGCATTAAAGTTCATGCTGGGTGGGATCAGTTGTCGTGGTGTGAGTCTAAATTGCTGACGGGGTGAGAGAATAAGTTGAACTCTCTCATCTGCTGAAAATGTTTTGCTGTAATCCGAGTAAAGACAGAAAAAGGCATGTGAGCAATTAAAGTTTCATTCATTCGTGCAAGATGTGCAACATCATGTGAATTCTCCGTCTTATTTTCCCATGCCATCAACTTAATAAACTTTGATAAGATGATTAAAACGGAAAGCTTCTCCATCTTTCAAATGCTTCTTACCTTTTTCCATTTGCTTGAAACGCTTAATGGTTTGTATGGGAAAACTTTGAAAGGCTTCTCACCGTGAAAATACAGTGAAACTTACTTGCTTTTCGTGATTACATTGCAGACAATTTCGGGAGCTTTATTTTCTTTCATGCTAAGCGTCTTAACGTACACAATGATAACCTAAATATTTTCCCTTCAATTGTCATTTTCACGGAGTGAAATTTGCTGCATCTACTAGAATTTTGAACAGTGTAATTTGTGAAAAACTCTCTGGGAGAATTTTCGTCAGTTTGTAGGGGTGAATAAAATACTATGTAATATATAAATAACAATCGTCTTAAGGCTCAGGTGAAATGGTGCACTTTCATCAACGGTACGATTTTGGGTTCTTTCAGTTTTAAATAGGAAATAAATATAAAATCAATCAAGTGTGTAATAATTTCGTGAGGAGTTTTATGAGATTAAATAAAGTTTTCACATGATCAAGTTGAACTTTATTGAAGTGGGTGAAAGTTTCACTGAGTCACATTGACTCTTATAGATTTTCCAGAGTGTGTATGTCGTTGGAGAAAAATCCTCCAGTCAATTAGACTCACTCCCCTCTCTCCACATTTCCGTCAATTCCTCGAAGGTGGATAGAAATCTTATGGCACAGCATATATGTGATTTCGAGGAGGATGTGTATTGAAGTAAAGTGAGGCAACAGAGTCATAAAGTTGAATTTTCTCTCTTTTATTTCTATTCCACTGTGACATTGAGTGTATTCTTGGGGAGGGAAAGCTTGAGGTTTCCTCTCTTTTTTGGCCACTTGGCCACGGAGGAAGCAAAAGTTGGAATTGATTTTCACGAGCAAAAGAGGCTTGATAAACTGGGAATTGGGAGAGCGTGAAGGGAGGGGAGTTTTCTGCCAGTTGCAGTTTTCCACAAGTATCATTTCCACTTGACTTGATGCGACTAAGAGGAAAAGATTGAAACAATCAGTTGTAAAGGGGAGGGGGAGATCGTTAAATTTTTATGTTCAACCAATTATGATGTAATTTGAAAAGAAGCTGATTGAATCTATGCCCGAGACATTTATAGGATGGCACGGGATTTTGATTGTTAGCCCCATGTCGTCCATACGAAATAGACAAATTTGACATTTATTTCCTTTCTCCAATTTAGCTCTTGTCGTCTGTGTGTCACCCTTAAAAGTATCATCACTCAATGACATTCCCGGAGTTAAGATATATGGTGAAGAAATTTTTCGGGTGACAAATATTTATTTAACACAGTAAAACTAATATTAAACGCCAAAACTTTCTCAACCAATTAATGTTGCTGCTCAGTTTCTGTGTGTGTCAGCAGAAAGTATGTGTTTTTGGGTGTGAGAAGACAGGAAAACTTGTATGGCGATTTTATAAAAGTTTTCCCTTCGTTATTGCCATAAACTTCATTTATTACGTATCGAAAGGGCGGGACACTTCTCAATTTAGCGACAGAAAATTCATTAATTTTTTTGTTCTTCTACACACAATGACATATTGACTCCTTTGCAGAGCAAGCTGGTGCGCTTCGATATTTCATCCAACCAATAAATGTGCTCTAAAAGCTCCTTGTTTTTATTTTATCCGCCAAAAAATACCCTCAATAAGTGGAAGATGAAAAATTATGAGTGATTTATCTTTTGGAGGTGCAAAGGGAGGCAAGAAAGAAGAGCAATGATGGGCGATGATTGAGAAAAAGAGTCCAGCTGCGTGTGGATATACAATATTTGGGGTGAATAAAACATTCACTCATCCATGTTTTACTAGAGATGATCATAGCTTGACTCCATTTGTCGGCCCCTTATGACATTTTTTTCCTCTCTCTCTACACTTTGTCATGGAAAAATTGTGATCTGGGGACAGAGCAATATTGTGACCATCTGGTAAAGTCAGGGTGTCACTCAACCCGAAAGTCATTGCCTGGGATACATTGGTGTTAAATTGACAAAATGGGGGGTGGAATTTCTTCTTCACTCTTGATTGAGCATTTTTCCCTCTCAGCTGATAACTTGGATGTCTTTAATTTCACTTGAATTGAAGTTTAGAATTTCTTCGTTAGTCACTTGCAATGTTCATGTCTGCGCGCCCCCCAACTGACACCGAAGCTCGCACTCTCGAGCTAAAAAGCTTTCTTCTTGCCCCGTCGCCCGCCCGTGGGGTGAGATGTGTTGTGAATGTTTTGCTTTGGATGTAAATTCAACACAAAAGGGTGGCGTGTCGAGTGGCAATATCCAATAATTCGTCGTTAAAATACACACGAAGAGGGGCACAACAATGAGGACGGGACGCAAGGGAGTCAGCTGGAAAATGGATGAATGGGTGGAGGAATAAAGTCTAAATTGAAACTTATAATGCACCAAAGAGATAACAAACTGTTGACGGGCTTTCATTATCTATCTCCGACCGACGTGTATTTTATTGCTTCTCCTCTCCACCCATAGTGGCTGGTGCTGAATAAACTTTAACATTTAACCCCTCAAAACGGGGGATTTTGGTTTTGCTGCAATTGTGGGGAATATAATGCAACACATACACACACATCATGTGATGAATGGTAAATTTTAATGAAATCAGTTACCTCATTGCTCAACTTTATTCATGAGATTTCCCCCACACTTCGCGCCAAGTTGGTTCTTGTGCACAAAACCCAAACTTAAATCTAAATACAATGAGTCGGAAAATACTTGGGACTCTTCTCTGAATGCATATTTGGAAAGAGGTTCGCTGAAGCTCTCAGATTGGGCTTTTCACTGGAATATATGAGCAAGTGCAGGGCTGGAACGGCACTTTTGTGTTCCTATGAAGTGCCTTTATAAATTCACAACTAACCATTCATGTGCATGAGTTTAAATTCCCACTCGAATTCTACATATTTCTACTCCTAACGTATTGTCTCTATTTATTCTATTTATATAATCTTCTCACAAGTTTTCTCATATTCCACATGCCTTTCGCAGAAAAAGCCGAAGCAGCTTTGAGTGGAAATTCTTTATGGGTGTTTGACTGTGAAAATGAAATGCATCATATCAAAAGAAATCCCACAGAGCTTCTAATTAGGTGGAATTTGAGTTGAAGACTCTTTGTGGTAGATTTATAATATGTGATGTGATAAATCCCAAAAACTCTGCTACGACCAAATACAATAAATCATCGTTTCTGGTATTAATGTTTTGACGTTCTGCCATAATCTTATTAAATGGGTTTCCTTTCTTCCTTTGCAGAGGTGTCCTGCTACAAAATCAACAGGACTACGAGGGCGCTGTGGAAAGCTATCAACGTGCAATTCACTTTCGACCATCTTTGGCTGGTGAGTTTGGCGTTAAAAGAAATAACTGTTGCGTGAAAATATTCGTGAAATTTGTAATTATTCGGGTATAATTGTGAGTAATCTTGGGTTTCAATGGGAATGAGGAGATTGTCTCATACGAAATGGGTCGGGGGTTGATGTTCTAGGTATGATATAACCATGGAAACCGTAGAGCAATACGCAGTAAATCATCATATTCATAATACCATTTGAGCCCCATTTATTTTCTCCATTATGTCTTGATTACACTGCAACTACCATTGAACTCATATCTTCTTCCGTGCTCCCTTCACTTTCAAATTCTCTATTGCCCTTCTCCACTTCCACCCTCGGCAGTGATTCTCTTGTTTCTCTTTCAACACATAAATGCGAATGTGAGGTGTAGTAGTAAAATTTATAATTGGACTTGTAATGAAATTCATAGTGATGCATTCTTCTTTGACTTCTCATTTGCCCTTCCAGTCGCTTCCCAAATAATGTGAGTATGAGGGGATGCGACACAGAGGGAGAGAGAGACAAACAGAGAGTGAGATATGTATGGTGAAGGAGTGGGGAAAAGATCAAATGCAAAGTGCAAGATTGCAGATTTCTCTGGCAGGAATTTATTCCGACCATTTTCATTGGAAAGTTATTGTATCGTCAATTACAGTGGCAACACAAACAAGTCGGAAAATAGCACACCTCTCCTCACTTGCGTTTCACAGAGTGCAGTGGTGTGGCATGATGGGTGGAAATTCTGAGGTTTTGTGTACATTTGATGCATCAAACGATATGTGTATCTATGCAGAAAGTGTCTACAGTGAAGTGTAGGCCAGAGGGAGAGGGATGATGCGTCCAAGTGGAGGAGAGGAAAATGCCATCCGAGTCCGCCTCAAAAGTCTACATAGGTACATATCACAATTCAGGACACGAGCAAAAGTAGCAAGACCACACAAAACAAATCCAACCGGCTCTAACCAATATACAATTCACTCATTTGCATACCAAACATTAGCCTCGGTCGAGATCCTCACACGAGAATGAGATGACAATGCTTCTGGCTGCCTTTTTCACTGATGCACAACGAAATGAGTGCGAAGCGATTTTCCATCCTCGACCGCTGGTTACACACAATTCACATGTCCATCCTTGGGTCTTTGGTTTCCTGTAATATCTTTACAATTCAGCTTCCACCACAAACTGCCTGCAATTATCACGGATCTATGGTTGGAAATCGATTTCAATTGCATTCACATCGCAAACTCATATACATCATACCCACGGCCATGCACTCGCCCAATCGCATTTTGTCCGTCCACTGCATTTTCCGTGTGCGACGAATTATCAGGGAGGGAAAAAACGCATTCTCTCGCAAATTGGATGACGGGATTTAATTGGAAATTCTTGTTGCGGATAAATGAAATAATCTCATTCGGTGAAGCCTTGAATTTAATCATCACAGATGTGGTGAGCAAAAGACAGACACACTGCAATGAACTGCAATGTGAAATTTGTGACTTCTTTGGTTTTTCTATGATTGAGTGGACAGTGAGAATTATTCAGCTTCTGCAGATGGATTGAATCGATGTGTGAAGTGGTTAATTCGTCGTTATCCGTCGAAACAAAGGTAAATGATTTCCACAGTGTTTGCATTTTAAAGTGTGTCTCACACAAAACCCCGGGAAAATTTCCCCGGGAACGCAGAATAGATGGTAAAATGTATATTTTCAAATAAAATGGTGATACTGGGGAAAGTTTTGCCATTAGAATCTTGCAGTTAATTGAATATGTTTCCATGTAAAAGCACTATTCTCCACCCACAGCCGGAGAAATGGAAGAGTGAAAATGCAAATTGATTTTCCACCACATTTGTCACGACGAACAAATGAACAATGCGCCAACAAAGTGACTCTCTCATTCACTTTAATCATTGGCACAGCCCGCACGCACACGACCGTACAAAAAGACCATAACATTGTGGGCGAGAGCGAGAGAAAGACACTCCGCGTAATGTACATAGATTGAAGCAATTAAATTTATGTTTATTTATTTTAAACGTCAGTCAAATACCAGTTGCAGGGTTTTTCCAAACCAAGCCACTCGCCAGGGTTTTTGTTTAGTCTCTAGCATATAGCGATGTTGAATTTACCGTATTTTGATGGTTGTATTGTGTTGGGGTGGTGTTGTGTGTTTAAGGGGGAAAATGCCAAAACAACAACTAATTAACTTCTTTTCTACAGCAACAACATCACTATGAAATCAACGTAAAACCGCACTCACACACCAATTTAATTGCATTCATTCTGGCTATGTTGCTGCAACTCATGTACTCGATAATAATTGCGAACGAGCACTAATTTCCTATAAATTGCATTAGAGAGTGATATATTTTAAAGATAATTTATTGTTCTACTTCATACAAAGGCCAATTATAAAATGACTATATTAACATATAAATTAACTCTGCGTCCCCTCAATTCCTCGAGACTCTATGGGCTTTTTATGCTCTCAGTCCCGTGTGAACCCTTAAGCTCAAAGAATCTCAACGGGGTGCACTTTCACGAGGGGGTGTGGGGGGGGGGATGAAATGGAGGCGGGAAAATGTTTCACGCCACTACTGTTGTGAAGAGGATGAGATTAAAGAGTGTAAAAGTCTCATAAAGTAAATGTGAAAGGGGTTAATTTTCTTCCAAGTAAACACAATTAAAAAATTTAATCTTTCCTTTCTTTTTGGGGTGTGTGTGTGTATATATGCGAAAGGGGAGCGAGTAATATACTCACACAGAAAATGAATAATTCTGTTTACATTCCAACAAATAAATTACTAAGCATTTTCCACCCACATTCATTTTCTCTCTTCATGCCTTCTCCCTTCTGTGTGTTGCCCTCCTTTTAGCAATAATTTTTCTGCTGACTCTCTTTCATTATCTCTTTTGTTTTCAAACCCCTCCATACAATCCGGCGAGCATTCTTTTTTTTTTACTCACATCCACACGTCCGAAAACACCGAAAATGGACAAATACTGCTTAATTATCGCAGCGTGTGGGATTACGAACGCGGGGATTTTTATTGAATCATAAGAGATCATGAGAGAATTTCGCAAACAGCATTGTATCATCCGCAAAATAATCCACCTATTTAATTTGCATAAATGGAATAATATGTATAGAGTGGGGAGAAAAAAAGCTCGTCACCGGAATGGGAAAGAGTGTAGGAGACAGAAATAAAGTGGAAGTTGAGGATCTTCCCTATTTCACTGTGGGAATTTCTTGTTATTGCTGGGAATTATAAATTCAAAACAGATGAATTTACCACGTGAATTAAACATGGAGTGTAAAAAGCTCGGAGCGCGGGACTTAAAGGGGAGTTGCAAAGTACTGAAAATAGCTCGGAATATATTGGCATTTACTGGAGAAGTCTCAACTCAGCTCACAGTACAATTTGCAATGGAAGTGAGTGAGAGGGAGAAAGAGAGAGAGTGAGAAAATCCGTAGAAAATACACAAAGTTTTTTCTGTTAATTGCTGAATAAAGTGAGAAGGAACATTGAAATGCAAATATGTCTAGACTTAATTGTATGTAAATCAATGGCCTACATTTGATAAAATGAGCTTCCGACTGCGAACCACCGAGGGAGAGGCAAACTTAATTCTGCCAGTGTGATTTGTTTTTCCATCTCAGATTTGCGACGCATTTTAGAAATCGGGATTTGTCAGGATTTGTGCTTTTTGCAAAAATTTGATGGGGATTTTGAGATCCTTCATGTGATATTACATTTATCGGAGATCTGTTTCTGAATGGCATAACGAGAAAAAATTGTATTCCACATAGAATGTGTCTGTGTCTCTATTCTCATATGTTACCAACATTCATGTTCAGTGTGTTGTTCTCAAATTACATTCCTCTATCGCACATCTTCCGTAGGAAGTTGGGTATAGAGTATCTTTTCTTTTTTGCTCCCGCCGCACACCTCCTCTAACCTTCCACTGACATGGCACATTTATTTTCATCTCTGCATGTTGTCGTCGCCATCGTGTGCAACAATGAGTCTACAGTGCAATTCAACTCATTCGCCCAACACTTGTGTCCCAGAAGAGTGTCTCCAAAATGGGTGGCGGCGAGGAAGAAAAGCCATCAGACAGCATGAGTGTTAATAAAAATAATTCGAAAGGGATGAACTGTAAATCATTGTGAAAGTTTCTCTCTGCTCGCATTTCACTCCTTCCCAAACCATTTTCGTTCTGTATCAAATTTACAATCACCATTACTCTTGAAAATTCCTGTTCTTCTTCCTTCATTCGTCTGGATGTTTTCGAGACTATCGCACCCTCTCTTGCGATCCCCATACAAATCCACTTGGCAGCCAAGGCGATATTACATGAGCTCTGTAGGGAATCTCCCATTGTGTAGGATCAAATTGAAAAAGATGTGCGACACAGGAAGCGGAAGGTGCAAATTGCAATGGCGGAAGATAATGAAATGGAAAGGTGCCAATGGATCAGCCAGCGAAATTACGGCCAATGCAAGTAAATTGTCTGTAACTGAGGCGCCCGCAGAGGGCGAAGGACTCTTCGCGGAAAATCATGATGTGACACCATTTGGAGCGCGTCGTCAGAAGAATTGTCAAGAAAGCAAAACTCATTCCTCACTCCTCGCCGCTCCCTGTATTCCTCCGCAATCCCGTCCCATCGTCAATTTGTGTCAGATGCCTTGAGACCACGAGAAAATAGGAAGCTAAACAAGAGTATCGCATTCTGTTTGCATGAAATGTGAAACTTTTGTCCTCAATGTCTTCAAGTATAAATTGCGCTCATCCCTCATTCTGTATTCCACGAAAAGATAAATTAGTGCTTAGAAATTTGATATACTCCCTTCCATTGGCGGGAAAATATGTATTACAGTGAATTTTGTGAAAGATATGTGGAAAAACTCGCGAAAGATTTCCGTAATTTTCTCTCTCATGAAGTCTGAGGGAGAAAACAAGGCGAGGAAGTAGAGAAAACACCTCGCTATATAAGAAA